GTCCTCCACGCACCTCCAAAGAGCCATAAAACTCTGCCTTTCTTCCCACAAACGTTTCAAGCTCCACTGATTAAGTTTGTATTGTATGTAGCTAGCTATTAAAGCCAAGCATTTACGGTCCTTCCAGTTTTGCAGGATAATTTCTGAAGCAATAGCTTCAAATGGAGCCCTTTGCTGCAGTGGAATAACCTGATTTGTACAAATATTTTAGCAAAAAATTTGGGCTATTCTGATTTCTGTATGGCTTCTCTCCCCTCCTAAGAATAACTGCAGCAGATCCTCCAAGGCGCAGGATAAACACGGTGGTTTTATTTCATTATAACAAAGTAGAGATTTTTCACTGCTGTGTCACCAGGTCGCCCGCTCGCCTTTGTCTCTGGAAGATTTTGTTTTCATCATTTTACCACCATATTTATGTAGAAATGTGCTGGACAGCTGAGGGGATTTTACTGTCTCTAACGTTTCCTGTTCTGTTGTTTAATTAGTCATTTTCTGAAAAGAACGTTACTTAACATAAGAAGTTTCCTGCACACGAGATAAAATGAAGTCCAAGTGGTCCAAACAGACCAACACGGCTCTGCAAGCATCATTCCTTGCATGTTCCAGGTGAAACAAGGGAATCAGGTTTGACTATGGGTGGCATTTTCAGCAAAATGGTGGATCCAGTGATGTCTGAGTGCAGAAAGCTGTCCCTTGGTTATCACCCAACGTCCGTTCCTACATCTGCTCAAACTGTAGATGTCTCTGTTCATTGCAGGGAGGTCAAACCAGACAGATTTTAAGAGTTCCTTCCAAGTGCAAACTATTCTATGCTTCTATGGTCTTCCAATCAAAGGACAATGTTGAAGGACCTTCGCCAGCCAGCAGCACGATGTTGGGAAGTCACAGGTAACGCTTGGCTCCATACACATCCAAGGGACTCAATGACACAAAGGACCAGCTCTCAGAACACACCTGAAGGTGGCTCATATCAGGTTCCTGTTTCCTCCCCTTTGTTGGATGCAGATTGTACATTAAGGCGGTGAAAGAAATGGTTCAGCGCAAGCATTAGGACCCTCTGGAGGTTGATGTGGGGGGGAAATATTGTGCTTGTTAAAGACACTCCCTACTCAGGAAGAAGGAAGACAGGCTGATGTCTACCAAACACAGGCCAAAACCACAGTAGTAAGAGCACTAGCAGGAGGAAGCTGGATCAGGATGCATCCCCACAGCACGGTCACACAGAGGAGAGACGTGAGGGCATCGCTTCAGCTGAGCCCCTCAATACTGATAAGAAAGCATGATGTAGGACCTGATGTGCTGGGTGTCTTCAGCTCCACCACCAGCCACCAGTGGCCAGATGTGCTTGATCCTGCCCACTCCTTCCCTGGCCACCATCAACCTGGAAGATCCTTTGCTAGCATAGAATCACAGAACCATTCAGGTTGGAAAAGACCTCTAAGATCATCCAGTCCAACCATCAAACCATCCCCACCAAGCTGTGTCCCTCAACCACAGCCCCTGTGGGGCTGCATTCCCCACTCCCACCCCGCTCAGCTGAGCATGCCTTCCCAACAGCTCCTGCACCGGGGGACGAAGCCCTGGTGCTCCCGAATGCCTGGAGGTATAATAAGCACTGAAGAGGAGTCAGTCGCGGTGTTATGTATCCAACCAGCCTGCAATCTCATTTTCTCCCTGGGCTGGGTGAGTAGGGCAAAGGTTGCAGTCGCTGGCTGTCACTCCGGTGCTGCCTTGCTGTGTGTGCACCGGTGTGTGCACGCATTGCCCAGCACCTGGACTGAGGTTTGTTTCAGCAGCGCTGCACACAGCCTGTTTGGTTTGGACGAGGCTGGAGGAGCGGTGAAGCCAGTCAGGATATAATCTAAACCCTGGATTCTGCAATCACAGAATAATTAAGGTTGGAAAAGTCTTCTACGATCAACAAGTCCACCTACCACCAACACTGCCCACTGTACTGTGAAGACAGCCCAAGCCAGGGGGCAGCTCAGCCCCAGCCCCACGATAAAGGATGCCTATGGCTGGTGGCAACCTTGGCTCTTCCACAGTGCTTCGGGCTGAACACCCACATTCAGGGATGCTCTTCAGCTCCCGTCACAGGCTGACCGTAGGCACTCACATTCCTTTATCCCAGGGAACCTTTCACAGTGCATTCGGAGGCAACGTCCCAAAGGAAAGACTGTGGATCCCTACGCCTCTTCCAATGCCACACCTGAGAATATACAGAGAGCAGTGAGCCTCCCAGCCTTGGCGCTGGGTTTTAGGTGATGGCACAGCAGATCTGTCAGGACTGAATGCCTGCATCTGTGGCTTGTGAAAACTCACACAAATAAACGCACGCCCACCAGCACGCCTGCTGAAGGGCTCTGCGACCCACATGGCTGCAGAAAACCCACCTTTGCACGCCGTGATTCTCTTCTGACCGCCGTCCCCTATTTAGCACACCTCCACCAACCAGGTGAGCACGGGTTACTTTCCGTTTATAATGCACTGGACACAGTTCTTTTGTCAGGGCAATTTTCATTTGGTAAAGCTGCTTCTGTTTGTGAGCTGCGCTCGTATACAGCACCTTCCCTGAGCAGTCATCAGAGCAGCTCTGAAATGTTTGGATAGTTTGAAATAAATTTCATCAGAAAAACCACAAGTTTCTATAAAGGAGCACAATTGTCCTGTGTTTTCTGGTTTGGAGGCTCTCAGAACAGCTTCTCCTTTCTCCAGGACAGGATTAATACATGTACTGTTGCTAAGTGTCTGATATTTATGTTCCATTCAGTTCAAAACAGAATTTGTTTCTATTCAGTGCAAACCCCTGCAGCCTCACTTGCAGCTTTGCCTCAGCCTTTCTCACAGCCCTTCTCCCCATCACGTGGCTGAGACCACTGCAGCTGCCACACATGGTCTTCTGCAGCCTTAATGGTTCTATCAGGGACGCGGTAGTGGGCAGTGCTGGCTGTAGGTGGGCAGTTGGAAGGGATGATCGTGGTGGTCTTTTCCAGCCTTACCGATTCCAGGACTTTCAGTCCCACCTGATAAGCCCCAGAGGCATCAGAATGCCCAGAGAGTGGTTTGGTGGTTGGATTTGATGGAGGTCTTTTCCAGCCTGAGTCATTCTATGATTCCAATAGGGACATGGTTCAGTGGGCAGTATTGCTGGTAGATGGACAGTTGGACTTGATGGTTTTAGTGGTCTTTTCCAACCTTCACGATTCTGTCAGCAGGAATAGTGGGGACTGGAGGTTGGACTGAATGATCTTTGTAGGAGAATGATGCATGGGAGACCAAACACACAATATCACTGTGTGCTGACACGGCTCCATCCAGACATGCGCCCTCCATCCTCCCCTACCCATCCGCCCCACAGTTAGATTTTGCCTTCCTGACGACTTCACTCAACACTTGCAGTGATTAGAAGCAAGAGAAAGGCCACAGCTTTGCCGTGCCCGATGAGCCAGATTAATCAGCTCCAGTTGCAGTGAATTACCTGCTCAGGCCTCGCAGCAACAACCTCCAATTCACAGCCCACCAGCCCTCATCCCACTTCCAACCGGGATAATCAGCAACGGCAGATGAATGACTGGGCGAGGGTGGGCTGCAGGCTGTCAGGAGCTGGAAAATACGTCAAAGCACTTTGAAATTAAATCCTTGCTTTGACAGGGAACCAATGCAGAGATTTTAAAGTAGGTGTAACACACTTAGGCAGGCGTGTGTGCAGCACAGCGCGAGTTGCCGTGCTTTGGAGAAGCATGTTCCAGCCTTGCTGCGAGCAGGAAAATGGAGTTGAAAAGACAAAGGGAATTTTGAATAGCTCCAAACCAGCTTGGCAAGATTTTAGAGATGGGAGCAAGAGGTTTTAGTAATGGACCTAACTAATAACATTGACAGGAGGAGATTTGGTGTGCTTGGGATCTTAGGTTTCATGCCAGGCAGCCGTCTCGTGTCATCTCGTGTTGCTCCTGGCCTTACATCGAGTTGTTTGTGTCCATGTGGGCTGGGGAGGAAAGATGGAGACATGGGGATGGGGAGCAGAGGGGCATCGCCACTGCACCCCATGGCCTCAGGGATGGGGATGCAGGGATGGGGAACCAGGCTGCTGGAGCTACTGAGGTCCCCAACATTCAGCCTTTCTAGATAACCTGAGCTGTGGATTCAGTCCTTGGTTTGTGGTCAGGTGTCATCCTCCACATGCCTGGCAATGGAAATCCTAACCCATGACCCTCTCCCAGAACACCCAGAAGCTGCCTTTTTCTCCTGAATCCTCCAAAAAACTGAATCTGGAAAATTCCCTACAATGGAACAGGAGGAAATGCCTTCTCCGCAATGTCTACCATCAACAGCAGGTTGCTCAGAGAGGTGGTAGAGAACAGAGTAGACTCTCTGCTCCTGCAGACACCCAAGGTCAGGGAATGGGGCTCTGAGCACTGACAGAGCTGTGGGTGTCCTTGCTCGGTGCAGGGGTTGGACCTGATGGCCTTTAGGGTCCCTTCCAACTCAGACCATTCTACGATTCTACGACGGAAAACCAAGGCACCGCCACGCTCCATCCCGAGCTCTGTTCTCAGAGCCGCACGGAAACGATCCCGACAGCACGAAACGTGTAGGAATCCCTCCACTCCTCCGCCGTTCACCCCCAGGAAAACCCGAGGTGGGGAACCCCAAAGGCCATCACAAAGCGCCTCGGGAGCAGCGGAGGGGCAGCACCTCGGGCACAGCGCAGCGATGGGAGCGCCACCGGTGCCGTCCCCGCTGCCGTCCCGCCCTGGGGGTGTCCCCAGCGGCAGGATCCGCCCCAGTAGCGGCGATGTGGGGCCGCCCCCGGGACTGCCTCCGCCCCCAGCCCGCCCCCGGCCCTCCGCTCCATCCCGGGATGGGCCGGCCGAGCTGACAGTCGGGCTGGGCGGCCGCCGCGGGCGCATCCACCGGGCAGCGCCCGCCGCCGCCTGCCCGGCTCCCACCTGCGGCGGCGGCTGCTCTGGGGGCCGCGGGCCGGGCGGGGGGCACCGCACCGCACCGCACCGCACCATTCCCCGCCTGCGCTCCAGGATGAGCCCGGAGTATTTCCTGCGCTCCTTGCTGCTCATCATCCTCGCCACCTTCTCGGCCAACGCCAGCAACTGGCTGTGAGTAGCCACGAGCGAAGGGGTGCCCCCGCCGCCTCCGGCACTTGTTGCTCCGCGGGGGCTGCAGAGCAGGTGCCGCCGGGGTCGGGCAGCATCACCCCGTTGCGGGGGACGGAGATCGCGGTGCGCGGTCCTGGAGCCGCGGGGACGGGTGGTGCAGGTGGGTGCGGGGATGCCGGCTCTCCCCGGCTGCTCCAGCCTGGTTATAGGATAACTTGGTGGGCGCCGAAGCCCCCGTCCACCTTTTGTTCTTAAATTACTGATTCGGGCAGCGCTGGGAAAGTGAGGTCGGGCCGGCGGGTCAGAGCAGGGCCTGGGGCTTGGCCGGGCGCCCCGTGGGGGCAACGGGGCCGGGAAGGACTTGGCAGGGAGCGGGCAGGCAAGCAGGGATCGTTCGGATGCTGACCCCGGGGACCCGCAGTAGGCAAAGTTCACACCCAGCACTCCATCACCCTGCGGGGACGTGGGGACCGCCGTGTGGAGGAGCCGGGTGCCATCCGGAGCACGCTGAGCAAATGCTGAACTAACGTGGAAGGTAAACAGGGGAGGAAACAGTTCTGGAAAATTCCTGCCCGTTCACCAAGGGCTTCTTCTAGGGGAGACCCTCGGGACAGGAGGGATTGGGCATGGCAGCGCCTCTCATCAAAGTGCAGATGAAGGCAATGTGTCCGCTCCGTTCATCCCATCTTTGGGGAGACGCCTTTTCCCCACTCCCAGCGTTGACGGCAGACTGAGAGTCAGTGCGTTCCCGATGTGTGCAGAGGAGACCCGTGTTTGTGTCATGTCCTGCTCCCCCGCCCTGGTGCAGGCACGGTGTCCATAGGCACAACGCGCTCCGGTGGTTCCCACCATAGCCCAGGAGCTCGAGGAGCACTCCTGCATCCGGAGATGGGCTCCCGTCGGCTGGAGGCTGCGGGAGGTGCGCTGAGTTTGGAGGATGCTCCAAAATCAGGCTGGGAAGCACCGGGATGGTGCTGTTCTCCCCGCATCCCACCGGTGGGAAAAGCGCTGCCCGTCGGTGTCCGCATGGGATGCGTTAAGCGCTCAGCCCTCCTCCCCCTCGTTCGCCAGATGGAGCGACTTGCACCCCGCGCGGCTCCGGCGCAGCGTGGGTGGATCGCAGCCGCTTCCGAGGTGGGCTTGAAGCTGTGCGCGGGGAGCGGTGCGAGCGCCCTTCCCGCAGGGTCCGGACAGGGAAACGCTGCCGGGGAGGGGAAGCGCCCGGCGAAGGGGGATCTGAGGTTAAGTGGCAGCAGTGAGGCCAGCGAGGCGCGGTGCCGCGGCGGAGATGGGGCTGTGCGCGGCCGTTCGTGCTCACCGAGCATCGGGGTGGGCGCGGGGGATTCGGCGGCGGGAGAGCGGAGAGCTCATTCCTGCCAACAGGGGAGGAAAAGCAGACCCATTTCTGCGCGCTTGAAAGAAAGGGTCAACTTTTTTTTGATGTTCCAAATGTATCTTGATAAAAGGATCGTCCCCCGCTCGGCACTTCTTATCCTTCGCCTTTTAGGATTAAGACAATTCCCATTGTTTATCTCCTCACATCAGAAACAAAGGCTGCCAGAGGCAATAAACGGAGTTAGAAGGAACCCAGGAGTTATCAGATATTCGAGGAATGAGCGCGCTTCGTCCGTCTCACGGAGCCGTGCGCACGGCGCGGGGTCCGGCAGGAGGGCGCTGGGCACGGCTGCTGGGCGCCCCCCCAGGTGCTCGGCTCTGCAGCCCTGCGCGGAGGCGGATGGCAGCGTGCGGGGAAGTTTGCTTTTCCAGAAACCTGCTGGATCGGTGATTAAGCTCGGGGTGCCTTTCACAAGACGAGACTTTTTCTAAAGCTCCTCCTGACCTGTCGGGACTCGCATTCCCTGAGTGCTTTGGAGACGCAGCTTGCAACACCTGAGCTGAAGGCTCCCTGCAGCGGCCCGGTGCCCTGCAAGGAAGCGGCGGGAGGGATCACCGTGCTGCAGAGAGCTCTGCAATAGAAGCAGCTTTGCCAAATGTTTCCATTAAGCAGACCCAGATCCTTCTATCTGGCTGGGAAGTGAACCTCAGGTGTGTTTTCTCAGTGCCTGTGTTTGGGGAGTTGCTGTTTGGCTCTCTGCCTATCCGAAAAACCTCTCTGTCATCCAAACCAAAGTGATGCTCTTTTCTCTCCTTCTAATAACAGCTGCAGGCTCGTTTTTCCTCCTGTCTTTCGGGGCTCAGGGAGCCTTAAAGCTTTTCCTGCCAGCAAAGAATTTGATGTTAAATGAAGGGCAGCAGTGGGTGCTCTGAGGTCTGTCTGGCTGTGATGTGCATAATGGGAAGGTCCTGCTGGAGGAGTCCAGGGATGTGCTTCATACACAGGAAGGAGCTCAGCTATTCCCAAAGCACCTTTCGTTTCACAGCCTCCATTCAGCTCTTGGACCTGCTGCTGTGCCTGTGGCTCTTTGGGTTGCTTGAACCCGAGTCGATCCTCATGTCTGAAAAGCATCAGTGACACAGGGGTCCTTAATGGGCAGGGCCCTTTTTGTGGTGTTTTCTAGGAGTTGCTGCAGCCTTTCTCCCTTTTCCTGCTGTTAAACATCTAAAAGTGGCTTTGGAGGAGGCTCAGAGCAGGGTGTGCCACCGGCAGCTCCGTCTACCCCTTATTTACAGGGGTTTAAAACTTCCATCTGTGCTTCAGGCTCGGTTTAAAGGGCCAGGGGTGCAGCTGGGCTTTCAAAAGCCTTTAGAAAAAAAGCAAAACTGAGCTTTCTGGGAAAGCTTGAGGACGTTTTAAGTGTCCAAACAAGCCTGGATAACAGCAACCACTTCTGAGGGTTGGAGGGAGGGATGAAAAGATTTGGGGTTTTGGGGCTCCCATTTATTTGGGTGTGCCAAGGTGCTCCACAAACCCCAACTCAGTGCTCGTCCTGCTGGGGAGCAGCCCGGGTAGACCTCAGCTCTGATGCTGTGCCACTTTGTGTCACTGTGCAATGTAAGAGATGCAGGAGCAGCAGACCCGGGTCCTCTGCTTGCATCCCTCTGATCTTAAGCCAGCCTCTATTTTTAAGATGAATCTCCCCAGCTTTGACAGCAGGGAGTTCACTTCACCCCCACCCTGCTTCAGTCCCATTTCATGCAGGATTCTTCGCATTGTCGTTGTGACTCTCCCATTTCCCACCAGGCGAGGAACCGGTCCAGCATTTCCCCTCGGGTGCCCCATGGCTGCAGCACCATCCAGCAGGTGCAGGTAGCTCCAGGGCACGTCTGTGCCCTCAGATCCCTGCTCCCCTCCCTGCATTCTTATTTTTGGTGCAAAGACAGCACCAGGATGGCTCCCAGGTCACATCTACTTTGGCAGAGTTGCTCAGATTGGGTCCAATGGAGAATTTCTTTGCTTTCAGCTCCTTTCCTCGCCCTGGTGATGCTGCACTCTTAGGGCTTCCCTGCCTGTGATTTGAGCTATGAAAACAGAGGGCTTTAAGGGTTGCATCCTGCAGATGAAAGGCCTTTGCGAATCCTGATGCTGAACTTCCATCCAGTTCAGCTTGTCTCTGAGCTCAGGGCAGGAGGGACAGATACTCCCTGCCTCCTCACTGATGACAGAATTTTCCTTTCCCCAATGAAGCCTTAAATAAAAATATACCTTCATACAGAGTAGCAGAGGTTTATCCAAGGAAGGGTGGACATCAGGTGCTTCTATCTCACTCACATTGCAGGTCATGCAAGGACAGGATCCGTTCAGCTCCAAACACAAGCAATGGCGAGAAGCAGATTTCTGCTTTTTGCAGCGGTTGGTGGTGACTCCATGAGTCAGAAAGAGATTTTCGCACTGCAGTGACAAATGTTTGCATTGCACTGCTGGGAGCTGTTGTCTTCCCAATTAACTCATCCTCGTAGATGGAAAGATGCACCGCTGCCATGGGTTTGGGCTTTCTTAAAATGGGAAATTGCTGAGCAACCCCCAGAGGTCGGCAGTTTGCAGGAGGTTCCTCCATATTCCCTTATAAACGCAACGCCGCAGGCTCTTGCAACACCTTTTTTTTTTTTTTTTTTTTAAAACAAAGCTTGGAAACGTTGCAAACCCACAGAAATGGCGCTTCCCAAGGCTGGGCTGAGGACAGGCGATGCTCTGGGTGCCAGCAGCAGATCATCCCCAGCCCTGGGATTCAGCCCCTATTGCTGCAGGTGACCCCAAATGCATCCCTCCAGCACAGAGCCGCTGCGGTGTGCAGCTGGGAAGGTGCCGTGCAGGATCTGCCTGGCTCAGCAGAACTGGAGCCAGTATTGTGCTTTCACAAAATTACTCAGGGTGGTTGGGGGGGGGGGGGGGGGGGGGGAAGAATTAATTGAACCTCTTGGCCAATGGAAAGCGGCCCGAGGTCTGTTGGAAGTTGGGTGAGATCAAACCAGTCCCACAGAAGGTTCCTCTCTCCGTGTGTTTGCAAATTCCGATTGAAATGAAAAACTCATCAGAATTTCTCCAACCCAGGTGTAGCCCCGAGCGCTGCACCAGGGGAATTCCCACGTCGCTCAGCCCCATGGCTTCACTTGCCTCCTCTTGCAGCCGTTCCTGGCTGCTGAACTCGAGCGAAGAAGGACGTGTGAAAGGATGTTTTCTATGCATCCGAAGTCTGAGGTTGGGGTAGGGGGACTGGGGAGGGCAAAGTTTGAGCATTTGGGGGTCGTTTTGTGCTGCATGGCCCAGCTTGGGGAGCGGGACTCTGCCTCCTCATGGGACATTGCTCCAGCAGCTGGAGGTGGGGATTAGGGCGTGAGAAGCATGGTCTTAATCCAGAGATGAGATATGTACAACCGAGCCATAGAGCTGCTCCTCTGCCAGGGAAGAGACAGACAGGCCTTCAGATGACGACACTGCGCGTCGTGGTTTACATTTACAAGCAAAGGAGAGGAAGGACATCTAATCCCAGAGTGCAGTGGCCAGTCTGGGAGGGATGCGTCGTGTTGTAGGGCTGTCAGCTGGACCAGCTATTCCCCATGCTGCAGCTCTCCAGCAGCCCCATGCCCACAGTGTCGGACCAATGAGTTCTCTTTGCTTGCTTACTTTCCCCTTCTTTTTTTTTTTTTTTTTTCCTTTGCTTAGCCTGGAACATCCCATTTGGGACCTTAGCCAGGCAGGTATCCCCATGAGTTTGGGCGTTTGCTGAAGACATTGAAGCTTCTGAGCTCATCTCAGCATCTCTGATAGGAGACTGCAGTGACACCACCTGGCTGACACCACCTTCAGTATTCCCAAACTGATACATCGTGAGAAATTTCCACATTTCAAACATCTGGTGCATCTTCCCTGAACCACCTCTAATGAGGATCAGTCCGTGACTCCAATTTGCCCACCTCCCCGTGGCAGGGAATCCCCTCCCCACTCTTTCTGGCTCCACCTGCCAACCCCTGTGGCAAAAATTATCATCGTTCTTTGTTTTTAAGTAGGGCTTTTTTACCTTTCCAAATCTCCCGGGATTTGAGGTTTCCCTCTTTGCCACCTTGCAGAGTGGATCAACTGCAAATACTCCAATTATGGGACTTCAATCTTGATCTGCGTGCTGCGGATGGAAAAAAAGGAAGGGCTTTCTGTTGGTTTTGTGTTAAGTCAGTGATTTTTAATAAAAGGGAGCTTGTTCTGTGAGTGACTTGTCTGGATGTGAAGGCAGGAGAAAAGAAATACAAATGTGATGATGAAGCAAGAAGACAAGACTTGAACAAATGGCTTGGGCAGCAGCTCGCCCCTTGAAACATTCTTTGCCCAGTCTTGGAAAGGGAAGGAAATATGCCGTTATTTGGGTTTATTTTTTCCACAAGCAGGACTGTTCTGAAGCTTCCTGTGAGCCTCCAGTCCCAATCCAGGGCTCCGCACTGCAGGGAAATCAAGGTGGGCTGCCCTCTACAGCAAGACCTCGCTGAGGGCATCTTTGGTTTGGTTTGCTCTTCTGCCAGTCTTGATCTAGAAGAAAGGCTTTCTCTGTGGTTTCTACCGCCTCAGCCTAGGAAAACAAAGCTTGGGGCAGGGTCCTTATTAAGAACCAGGCAAAGTGCTGGAATGGGGCTTCCATGGTGACCCTGGAGGGCTGGCTGCAGTGCCTTGCTTGGGCTCCCCAGCGCTGAGGGACTCTGCACTGCAGAATGGGAGCATCTCTGGGAAGGAATGGTGGGGGAGAGAGACCAGAAATCGTTCTGGACAGCTTCACCTTATTTCCCTGCAAAACAAATTACCAGACCTGCTCTTGGAAAGCTGTATCCATCTTTGAAGCATGGTTGTCCTTCGTTTTATCATCCCAAATACCATTACGCACTCTCTGGGGAGGTGTCTTATCAGGCGCATCTACTTGGAAAGGCTTGAAAGGCTCCTGTCACACTTCTCTTCATGTGTGCTTTGAATTTATGGCTCCTCATCGCCTGAAGAATCCCACTGAGCTGGGAAATTCATGAGAAAATGAGATGGTGCCTCCCTCCAAAGCAGAGCTGAAGTGGCCATTCCACCTGCGGTCAGGGCTCAGAACTGGAGGCAGTTTTCTTGTTTTCCAGGCTCCAAGTTGACCTGTAGTGCCTTAGGATAACTCTAATTGCTTTGGTGTGCATCAGCTTTCCTGTGCACCAACTGAAATGATAGCTGGATGGGAGGGAGCAGGGCTGCTGTGGGCCCAGTTTCCAGTGTTCTCAATGATCCCAAGGGAGGTTTGCTGCCATCCTCTTGGTCCTTGCAGCTGGTCCTCTGCAAGCAAGCTGAGCCCTTGGAGGAGCTGAAGGCCTTGGACAAAGATGCTTAGCTGGTATAAGGGCTAGAAAAGAGCTTGGCTCTCAAACCACAGCTGCCTGCCACTTCCCACTGTCCGAGCAGCATTGCATCAAGTGACCTCCACGCATGAGGAAAGCTGGATGCTTCTGACAGCCAGCCATGCAGACTCCCCACGGACACTGCAAGCCAACCCAGCTTTCTCACCATCTCTATAAGCACGAAACCAAGCTGGTGAATAATTCTGCTGATGCACGGAAGAGAAAATCCTGCTCTCTCCTCCTGGGGCAGGCTGGCACGGCTAATGGGAGGAAGAGGCTGTGACAACTGGATCTTGTGGCTGAAGTCAGCAGATCTGACCCCTGGGACACATGGGAATGGGCAGGAAGCAGGAGCCACTTTTGAATGGTCACTTCTCAGAGGCAAGCAGTGCTTCAAAGACAAAATCCTTCACAGGATGTCGTAACTCGGAGGAGGAGGAAAAAAAAAAGCAAACAAAAAACCCACAAGTTCTGTAGGGCTGGGAAAGGCAGAGTCGAGGAATGAGGCTTCCGAAAAGCCTTCGCCTGGTGCTCTCATCACTCAGCACGGTCGAGGCGATGCCATGAGCCTGGCCCTAGAAGGGGCAGCTCTCTGCACGCTCTGCAGAGATGGGGAGGTGGTCATTGTGCACTGCCACAACCTGCCACGTCAGCACACACCTGGCACCCAGCACACAAGGTTTTGTCCCTCCCCGCTCCAAGCCCTGCTTGAAACCCCAGTGACAGAAAGCTGGCAGCTCCTGGGGGCCGGGCTGGCATGCTAAAAGCAGGTTTGGTGATGGAAGTGGTTTGGAGGGCGATGTTTGTCAGCGATGAGTGCGGGAGCTGTGTGGCAGCTGGAGCTGGCAGCTGAGTGGCTGTCCTGCTTGTTTTGGCTGACTTCAGAGACCTCTGGCTTTTCCTAGTAGCGCTTGGATGTGCCGGTACTCAGGAGACCTGACCGGGCACATTCAGACAACACCGAAAATATCCTCCATGCAGGCAACAGAGGCAAAGGGGAGCCGGCAGATGGTCTCCCAGAGAGACAGGGGATGAGGCTGCAGAGGGCTGCCTGTTTTCCTTGGGCTTGCTCTCTGCCATGCAAAAATGCAACCTGTGGAGGCACATGTTGCAGGCAACCCAGGTGTGCAGTGGTTCTCAGCTACGCAGGGGATGATAGGCTGGGTCTCCTCGCTGCGTCCCTGATGAACGTGGGTCTGTGCTCCCCTTACCTCCTAACCAGCTGTGCCGGCTCTCACGGCAGGTACCTGGCAAAGCTGTCTTCAGTGGGAAGCATCTCTGAGGAGGAGACCTGCGAGAAGCTGAAGGGCTTGATCCAGCGCCAGGTGCAGATGTGCAAGCGGAACCTGGAGGTGATGGACTCGGTGCGGCGCGGGGCCCAGCTGGCCATCGAGGAGTGCCAGTACCAATTCCGCAACCGCCGCTGGAACTGCTCCACGCTGGACACCCTGCCTGTCTTTGGCAAGGTGGTAACACAAGGTGAGCTTGGGTTGGAAGGGACCTTAAGCATCATCCAGCCTCAAGCCCTGCCGTGGGCTGGTTGCCCCACACCAGACCAGGTTGCCCAGGGCCCCATCCAGCCTGGTGTTGAGCACATCCGGGGAAGGGGCAAGAATTTCTCCCAATGTCAAATATGAACCTACCCTCTTTTAGTTCAAAACCATTCCTCCTTGTCCTATCGCTATCTGCCCATGTAAAAAAGCACTCTCTCCTTTCCATAAGCTGCTCTTGAGTACTGGAGCTTTCCCTGGAACCTTCCCTTCTCCAGGATGAACTCCCCAGCTCCTCACCCCGCATCCATAGGTGCTGGATGTACTGAGCAGCTCCGAAGCGGTGACTGCTGCCAAGCAGAGCAGCTCTCATGTGAGGACAGCCCTCTGCCGCCCAGTGAGAGTAAAACACAGCACACCCGGACCCTCCGAAGAGCAGCGAAGATTTATGGCCAGGCTCCACAGCCCAGGCTGGGTGCAGGCATCCCGGAGGTCCGAACCATGCCAGGGTGCAGAGCTGGAGAGGAAGGTCCCTTCCATCCCCAGGGAGCAGCCTTCCCTCCCCTGGGGTGCCACTCTCACCCCTTCCCATCCCGCAGAACACAGGCTGTGGCTGCCCCCAGCTCCCTGTTTGACTTTCCTCCCCTCGACACAGGGGTGAAGATCTCTTCTTGTGAAGGTTCAGGACTGGAAATACCAGAAATACCAGAAACTAAAAGTCGCCTCTTTTTAGTCAGCCACAGCGCAAAACCGACCAACACGATCCTACTATTAACCTCGATTAACTTGGAGGCGGTTCAGGCCCTGTGCTGGCTGGCCCTCCCCAGCCACTGCTGCTTGGCCACCGAAGCTTGGGCTGCGACCACCAAAGTAGCTGCCCTCTGCCCGACCGGCGAGCCACCCCCTACCTTGAAACAGCCCTAGCATACCCCAAATGCCAGCCCTGCTTGCTTGGAGCCGGAGGGGCCGTGTCCTCAGCCACCCTCGACCTCAGAGGACGGTGGGGATTTGGGTTTTGCAAGAGCTGACGGCCGCGGTCCCTGGCCGAGCCGCCCGCGTGTTTGTGTCCAGATTTCTCCCCCTTGTCAAATGGGCTCTTTGTGCACCGTGCAGGTGGGCACAGGAATGTTCTGCTGCGCCTGGGGGCTCTGCAGAGCGCTTTGGGAAGAGTTTTCTGGTTTTGGAGGCGCAGGGAGCAACGGGGTGCTGCGTGGTGATAACGTGGATCTGCAGCTACAGGGGGTGATCCCCAGTTTGGTTGAGGAAATAGAACATTTTTGGATGCGGGAGGGATTTTACAGCAAAAGTGCCCTGCAAGCACAAGGAGAGCTCTCCCCACATTGCAATGCAGCCTTTGCATCCCTCCTGCTGCTGCGTTATGACCTTGCCCATCACATCCGTGTGCTGCCAGCTCTGTCACTATTGCAAGCAGTGCGTGGTGTCTGCTGAGCCTGGTCTGGGCTTGGCACTGAGCAAATACATCTTGGGATACTTGGATCATGCCGGGGAGGGGTGAGCATGGGGCACCCCGTACGTGGGGGTGGGCAGGTGGAGCAGCCCACCTGGGTGCACAAAACCCCCTTGGGCTTCTTGCCATCTTTTCCACTGTTGTTGCAGGGACGAGGGAGGCAGCGTTTGTCTACGCCATCTCTTCTGCAGGGGTGGCCTTCGCCGTGACCCGAGCATGCAGCAGCGGCGAGCTGGACAAGTGTGGATGCGACCGCACGGTGCAAGGCGGCAGCCCACAGGGTGAGCGTGCAAAGCAGGGATACAGAGTGCACAGAGATGCCCATCCTCCAGGGCCACCCTTTAGAGAAAGGGCAAAAAAATGTACAAAAAACATTTTTAAAAGCCTACTGATAGTCCACGCAAGCGCTTCAGAAAGGATAGCTGGGAGTGTAGCTCAGGGGGTACGTTGTTCCCCCACCCCATGGCCATCCTTGTTCAGCTTCCCCAGCACGGGGAGAAAGACAAACAGGGCTGATGAGCAGTGTTTTAGCAAGGGCAGGGCTGAGGAGGATGAACTTCATCTGTCCCATCCTTGCACTGTGCCTCAGGCTTCCAGTGGTCCGGCTGCTCCGATAACATCGCCTACGGTGTGGCCTTCTCTCAGTCTTTTGTCGATGTCCGGGAGAGGAGCAAAGGGGCATCTTCCAACAGAGCACTGATGAACCTCCACAACAACGAGGCGGGGCGGAAGGTAACAGATGGGGATCTGCATGGGGTCTGCAGTCATTGCTGTGTCAGTGGAGGGTCGGGGGGGTTAGGGAAAGGCTGCGCCCCAGTGGGCAGCAGGCACGGCACAGCTCCCTGGGGCAGTGGGGATGGCCCAAACTGGGAGCACTGAGCTGCCAGGGTTTGGGAGCGGGCAATGTTGTGTGCAGCCAGGGGCTGGGCTCAGGGATCCGTGTGGGTCCCTTCCAACTCAGGGTGCTGTAGGGTGCTGTGACTCCGTGTCACACCCTGTCCCACGCTCACCACCCCCATCTCGTTTCTCCACTGTGCTCCTTCAGGCGATCCTGAACAACATGCGGGTGGAGTGCAAGTGTCACGGCGTGTCGGGCTCGTGCGAGTTCAAGACGTGCTGGAAAGCCATGCCTCCCTTCCGCAAAGTGGGCAACGTGCTGAAGGAGAAATTCGACGGTGCCACCGAGGTCGAGCAGAGCGAGATCGGCTCCACCAAAGTGCTGGTGCCGAAAAACTCCCAGTTCAAACCGCACACGGACGAGGATCTCGTCTACCTGGACTCCAGTCCTGACTTCTGTGACCACGACCTCAAGAATGGGGTGCTGGGCACCAGCGGCCGGCAGTGCAACAAGACCTCCAAGGCCATCGATGGCTGCGAGCTCATGTGCTGCGGTCGGGGCTTCCATACGGACGAAGTGGAGGTGGTGGAAAGGTGCAGCTGCAAATTCCACTGGTGCTGCTCTGTCAAGTGCAAACCCTGCCATCGGGTGGTGGAAATCCACACGTGCCGGTGATGCACGGAGGGGAGCAGCCATCCCTTCCCCTCTCTAACTGATCCTGCTTCTCTCTTGCCCTGTGGCCAGGACTGAGGAAGTGACCCAGACGCTGCAGGGAGAGCACAGCTCTATACAGAGACAGAGCCCTGGAGGAAAACAGATTTTAAAAGAAAGGAGCAAAAAAATATATATATTTAAAGTTTAAAAAAGGAAAAAAAACCAACCCTCCCCCCCCTCAAAAAAAGCGGTCGTTGTTATCTTTTATTTTGGTCGGTTTGCTTATTTATTGCTGAAGCCAGAGCAGGGATGTGCCTGACCTCGTGGATGCAGCGGATGCTCTACGCTGACTCTGGAGCATTGCAAATGGGAGATGGTTAAACCTGAGGCTGAGTAGCATTAGGGGCCGGGTATCTTCTGTCACAATCGTTTGTATTTGTTGCAGGAGTGCTTTCAGCATCCCAGAGCGCGGCTGGAGCACAGCCAGGACATGCAGCTGTGAGCGCTGCAGAGGACAGGGAGATGGGGATGGGATGGCACAGTGTTAATCACAATGCAGTGAGAGCCCATCCAGGGCTGTCAGTGTACGGAGCGTGCGTGTACAGAGCCTCAGGGATGCTCTGAGGCCTCCTGGGCTCTGGAGAGCTGTTAGAGCAGCTCTGGCAGCCGCTGTGATTTACAGAAGCTCCTCAGCAGCTGCCTGGGCTGTCAAGGGACACGATGTTCCCACTTTGCTCCCTGTCCCCTTGCAAAGCCCTTTACCTCCCAACCTCAGCATCTTGCCAGAGACTGCAAAGAGGGTGCAGCAGAGAACCTGCAATCTAAGGACAAGCTGGAGATGGAAGGAAATCCCAGGGGATTCCTTTTCCTCCTCTCCGTGACCTTGCTCACCAGCATCCCACAGCCAGCCCTCCTCCTCCTCCTTCACGTGAACTCTCCAGGGGCCACCCTGCACACCCAGTGAGGGCTCCTGGGGACAAGATGATACACAGCCCATCTCCATCCCAGCCACTAGTGAGGAGAGCAGAAGTATAAATGGAAGAAATTGCTGGGGTGGGAGGATGCGCCGTCCTGCTCCACACAGCCTGGTCTGCAGCAGTGCCATGAGGATAACGTGCTGTCCTACCCGCTCCCACTTCCCCTCTGCCTGGGATCGGGTTAGCATAGAGCCCTTGCTGCTGGGCTGCAGGATGAAATATTTGGAGAACTAATAAGCAGTGGGGCACTGCGAGGGGAGGTGGAAATTGAACCAGTTTTTCTCTTCCCTCACACGGTTGTATGAGAGTCGAGAGGCAGAAGGGAGCAAAGAAAAACCCCAAAATGGCACCTCAAGCCAAGAGGAACATCTGCGAGGAGCTGGTGTGGGTGGCACTGCTTTCACTGGGCAGTACTGTGTGAGTGGGAGCTCCACACCTGGAGATGGCCCACGGTCCAGAGGAGCCCAGAGTTGTGGCCATCGCCGTCTGGGCTGGGGGTCCTCACAAACCTGCGGGCTTATTTTTATTCCCCGCTTCATCTAGAGAGGGGAAAGGTTAGGGGAACACGCAGACATCCATTAAATCCCGTCTGTGCTGTGGCAGTGATGGGCTGGGGGAGAGCCTGTGGTCGCTGGAAGGTCTCCAGACAGCGTCCGGCTGGAAGGCTTCTGACAACTGACTTGATGCAGCAGTGGCTGTGGCTCTGGGGCCAAGCCGCGTGCCTGGAGCAGGGCCCTGCTGGCTTCCCCCACACCACGGGACAAGGCCAGCACTAAGGGACCTGATGTCCCCCAGCTCCCAAAACCTTCAGCAAAGGGCACCAGGGGTGGTGACCCCAATCCAGAGCTGCCGTGGGTTGTGAGCCACTTCCACCTTGAGCTCAGAGCAGCACTGAGCAACGGCTGCCCCTCCCACCTTGGCCAAGGGCGCAGCGCTGAGCCCCCAGCAGGGATCTGAGCCCCACTCCATCTCCTCAGGTCCCAAGGCTGCGAGTTCTCAAGTACCTTGGACTGCTCCTCCTCTTCCCAGCTCATGCAGAGGAGGCCACAGACCTCAGGCCACTAGCCAAGTGTTCTGCTCCTTGTCCATCTAGGATGAGGGCCAAAGCTGAACAAGACAATCCAGATCAGTGTGTAGATAATCGCTGCACATATGGGATTTTTTTTTTCAAGCTGCGATGAAAGCTGAGCCCTGTAAATGTCACCCAGAGATAGCCTGGCTCTGCAGCTCTCTGGCTCTTCTCATAACTGTAAATTTCGGGGAGGGAAGGGAAATGCCTTTTTTCATATTGACTTTGTCTATTAAATAACGAGTTTGTGCTGAATTAGCCACGGGGTTTTCTTTTCCTAGCAGTCAGGCTCCTCTGGGCTGCGTTGGTCTTCTCAGGAGCCCTCAGCTCAAAGGAGAGCTGCACACAGGGTGCTCCAAGCACTGCATAGGGGGCACTGAATCCCATCCCCTCCCCAGGGCCATCTCCCCTCCCCCACAACTCCCAGCACAGCAGTGCGACAGAGGCGTGCTTCATCCCACACTGAAACAAGGCACAGAGAGCTTCCAGCTCCTTTAGATGGAGCCCCTCACAAGGCTGTGCCATCTCTCTCCTCCACACACAACCACAGAATCACTGAGGTTGGAGAAGACCTCCAAGACCAGCGAGTCCAGCCGACATGGGGAACTCCTGGTGAATGCACTGGGATGGAGGGGGGAGGAGACGGCACAGCCCTGAACATCCCTCTAAGACTCCACGTGCTGCCTCCTGTCCCATGCCACCAGTGTCACTTGCCTGCTGTATTTCAGCCAGGAGCCCATCCCTATGCTCTTCCCCATGCCAGCCCCGCAGGCTTGGCACAGCCCTCTGCCACCGTCTCCCTGCTGAGCTCATTCTCTCCTCTGAGGACTCATGGGCCAACATCCCCACCCCAATGCATAAACCTTCCTGATGTTCCAGTGCCAGCTCAAGATCATCATGGCGAAAACAGAATGTCCCCTGCAAGTCCTCCCCGCCCTGCTTCATGGGTAACGCCATGATTTTTCTCATTCCTCACCAACTTCACCACCATCTCTGCTCCTTCCGTCTTCTCCTGAAAAACCCTTCCTCTGTGCATGCCAACATGCATTCAGTCTCAGCTGCTCCCTCCTTCCTGGGCTTCACATTTGCCACCTCTTTGTACTCCAGGCTGAACAGGACGTGGCCAAGCTTGCAGGCAGAGCTCCTACCTCTCATCCAGCTGCCACATCACCTCAATGCCCTTTGCTGGCTGTGAACGCTCCCCTCCCTCCCAGCAATCTCATCCTCCCTCCCCAGCACACTCAGCCACTTTGCTGCCCTCCTTGCAAAGCAGTGCATTGACACAAACATCAGCTGTAGGGAAGGGAGGCGATGGAGGGTGACAGAGGACACAAGAGGGTAGGGCCAGAGAGTAAAGATGCTTTTCTCCCTGCACGAGCAGACAGAAGAGAATGAGACCTCCTTGCAGCTATCCATCATAAAGGATAGTTTTGGTCCAACAGAGAAGCACTCACACCAGGGAGAGCACTGCTCAGATGTGCAGCACAGCACTGCAGGATGCCCAGTGGAGTGGAGCTTCGACAGCAGCGAGATCCCACGGCAGCAGGAGGGAGCCCGGCCAGCGCTCCTCGGAGAGGCCTCCCGCCCCTGCCTGCCAAAATCCTGCCTTAAGTACAGGAAAATAAATTGTGCAACCTGCCTTAGGCTGGATTGTAACACCCCATGGAGACTGAGCAGGAGGAAGAGGCTGGAGTCGAGCACCACATCCCTCTGGCATCCAGCACCAGGCCCTGGGGACATCCCAACGGATCACACAGCAGAGAGCCCTCCTACCAGGTCCTCACCTGTCTGACTTGGCAAGAAAATCCTTCCCAGGTCTGACCATTAACACTTGAGGTTGGCAGTTGATGATCTTCTCAGTCCCTTTGTTCTCATGGCTCTGTCCGGGCTGCTGTAGGGCAATCCCCTTTCCTTCTGATGTCTCCTGGGGAATTTGCTTTGTGTGAAAGTGAGAAACAGGCAACCCAGCTGGGGGCTGAAGTGGGACACAGCACACCTGAATGGTCACGGCTGGCTCCAAACAGAGAGGAAGGGCTGGAGAGCCCAGCTGCTCTCCGTTCCAAGAACATCCCACAGTTTCAGTCTCAAGACACCTGAGTCTTTACAAGACAAGTGAGAACCATTCCAGCAGGGGCGAGTAAGGAAGGGGTTGGAAGATGCAGTGTCCTGTCTCTTCAGATGACCCAGGCTCTAAGAGCTGCGTGGCAGCCAGACACCGTGGAGGGTCTGACCACTGCCTCCAGCCCTTTCCAAACAAAGCAAGGTTGCAAAGTGAGCAGACAACCAGTTAGAGAACTTCTATTCACCTATGACTACTGGAGTATGGACCAGGCACCAGAACCAGGGTGGCCACCTACTAATAAGTCCAAGCACCGCCTCGCTGGTCAAGAAACAAGAGAAGTGCAATCTGCTCTCACTACGTGTCAAGGAAAAGTGCCACGACCCAGGAAGGAATGAAACACAACCAAAGAGCAACCACAACTTCCCTCTCATCAATGGTTTCCACCAAAGAAAACCAAAAGATGGGGCACCTGACAACACGAGCAGCTCCCAGCCTCAAAACCTCAGCTATTCTGACAGGCAGAAAGTTGGTGCATGGAAGTTTATCAGTGAATGTCTCTTGAATCCAAGAAATACAAAATTTATAAAGGATTTTTAAGGCTGCTTCTGGAAAAGACATTCCAGGAACTCTGCTGTACTGCAAAAAGTTGCATGCTGAGCTACTGTGTGAGAAGGAAGATGTGCTGAAAAATAAGTGTGGCAGGATTATAGATGTCCTCAAACTCAAAATTTGGCTATAAAACAAGATGCCCAAAGAACACAGAAATAAAAAACATCTTCAGAGCAGCACTGGGGCGAGGGCACTGTGTTTTGCATGGGGAGTGAAGGATGAAAAACAGCATGAACGAGGAGCCAACGGGAGAAAAGTAGGAAGAAAACAGACAGCCACCACACAACAGGAAGATGCATGTGCTCAAGAGGACTGGGATGAGATAAACGGGACCTCCTCCAGAAAAATGAGCTTTGAGGTGAATACAGGGAAAGGTAGAGCAGTCACAGTGAAACAGCAGCAGTGGAAGCCATGCAGACATCTCACCTGGGACTTGGCCTGGTGGCAGCACTCCGCTTTCTGTAGCCAGCTAGAAAATCTGCAGCCGTTTTATTTCCACCAAGAAACCCAGAACATCTGGGAGGGCCTCAGAGCTGAATCAGATGCAAAATAAATCAGTTCTTTGTGTCTTTTTTTTCCTCAATAAAGTCACTTGGCCATCTCCATTTTGCACCTGCCGCAGCCAGGAAAAGTCACAGTGATAAAAAAGCTGGGATGATGGTGGTGCACCTCGGAGCCCTCATCTGGGCTGCCTGCAGATTTGGGAAGGCAATGCGTCAGTGATGCTCTGCTCTCGAACCTTTTCCTCAGTTAAAAAAGGTTGGTGCACACTGTTGTACCTGCAAAGCACACAGAGGTTTGTACACAACCCTGGGTCCTTGGCCAGACTGAAGGCATCAACCCAAACCCTCGCCAAGTTTCTCAGCCAGCGTGAGCAAAAGACCAACCAGAGCTGAGAAAACAGCCCAGGAAAAGCTGGGCTCCTGGTGAGGACCTGATGCCCAAAGAACAGAGGTTGTGAAAGCAAAGGGAAGGATCTCAGCACCGGTCAGTGGAGGTGGTTTCACAGGTCATCCCAGCCCGGCAGCCATTTCCAGCCGTGTTCTCACATAAGGAACACAGTGCAGATGTTTTCCCAGCCAAACTCAGCTCAGGAGGGTCTGCTCTGCACCCTGACATAGCAGAGGCCCTGAGCTTAATTCTGAAAGTGCAATAAAAATCCCCTCCAATAAACAAATTCACAGTGGTCCTCTCAATGCCAACCTCTTTGTTTTTCCTTTGCAGCAACCAATGGGGAAGCCACCTCGAGCTGTTTTTCCCCATCCTATTTCTGTCTCCATCTCCCATTTCCTTCTATCCAATATTACCTTCCAAATTCCAGCTCTGATCCTCGGATAATTCGAACATATTGCATTGCTTTAAGAACTGTGTTATTTTATCCCTTTCACCTGCCACTTTTCTTTTAGATAAACACTCATAACTCCCAACATATCACTTTAACTCTTTGACTGTCACTGGAAATGGAACCAGCTGAGATTTTCACAGGGGAAATTCTTTCCTTTCCTTTTCTTCTGGGCTTTGTGCATTAAGCCAAGCAAAATCTCACCTGCCTTAGCATTGTCTTCATATCATTTTACTTAAGCTCTGCCTAATAATTTCACCAACCTCTGGGGTTATTGTAACTGTTCAGGTTGGATTCAGGGCGTAAAGCTGTCTTAATCACAGCTTCTCATTGAGGGCTACTTATTTCTCTAACACTTCCTGCCCCAGCTATCACCTCGCAGGACTGGCCTTCTGCATGTGCACAGCATCCTGGGTTCAGCTGCAGACACGGCCCCAGCAGAGCACGGAGCTGACACCCATCATGCCACTTCTCCATCCAAATGCAAGGGACAGCACCGAGAGCAGGAGCTGAGCAACTTGATCCCAAGTGAGCTTTCCTGGCACTCTTTCCACACCTCTGTCCAGCCCTGCCTTGCACTCACAGTCAGCTGCTCCAG